ACAATATCAACGAAATCATCCCTTTACAATAAGATGCAGGAACCGCCCTTTTTGCTAATAAACTCTTTAAATCGATTATGAGTCAATTTATGGGGTTTTACGAGGAATTAAAAAAATGCTGCCTCCTAATTGAGTAGAAAAATATTTTCAGTTTATAATGCAATTAAAAAAAGTCAGGGTTCAAGCTAAATAATATTCCTATCTTAAAATTGAAGACCCAACTTGAAAATATACATTATCGTAATTTCCATTTGTATAATAATTATATGATAATTCTATTTTTGTAACAGAAATGGAACCACGTGATAGAGAACGATTGACTCTTAACTACGACCTACTAATCGCAAGAGTAAATGTCGACCATGTGATTTTATATCTGAACAGGATAGTTTTTTCTGAGATTGAATGCGATAGAATTCATTCTGCAAAGACATACGAGGACAGAATGAAGAAACTTCTCGAGTTACTACAAAAGAAAGGTCCGCATGCCTATCAACATTTCAGACATGCGCTTTTGGACCGTTACTCAGACGTCGTCAAAAAGTTAGACGAAACTTCTTCGCGTATCTTGCGCTTAAACTCAACACCTGATGACGCAAAGGGAGCAAACGCTGAATTGCTGGCGGTTCGTGGATCTTTAATTCGAAACCTTGAAATAAATAGCATATTGGAATATCTTGTAGTGGAAGATGTCTTCAGTGAAGAGGACTGCCATCGAGTAAGAGCTGGACTGAGACAAGAAGACAAAGCCCGCCTTCTGCTAGATACCGTGGCAGCATCTGAAGATCCAGATGCGTATCAGAAATTTAAAATGGCAGTGATGGTGTGCCAACCTAAATTGGCTTCAGTGTTTGAAAACAACCTGCATTCAGAAGACTGGTAACAATAGGACATTCCGGAGTGTCAATCTAATAAAACAATTACTTAAATACGGCGCATGGTTTTACGACACACCTACATACCTTGTCGTTTTTTAGGGCATAAACATAGGCCTATTTAAGAATGAATCTTACTAGAAAGATTATGTAATTCAAATATATACCTATAATCTAATCGGTGCATCTCTACAGATTTCTTTAATATGAATTCATGTTTAAGATTATCGTACTTATAAATTAGTATCAACCAAGTTTAATAATGTATTAAGTTTTTCTTATATTTTTAACGATGTGTCACCACTTGCAATTTGCCTATATTCACCTTGAATGTATTTCACAGAGAAATTATCGAAATATATTTTATGTATACAATGTTTTTATGAGTACACATTTAGACGAATGTTTTGTTTTCTCCACTTTTACTAAATCATCAAGCGATGCGTCTCTATACTTGCAATACTTTTACTGAATATTCTTAAATATATATTTATCTACAATGTGTTTATAAGTAAACCCACTGAAGGCGACGTCTTTTACTTTTGCAGCTTAGTTTAAAAAATCGTCATTTTGATGTTTAGCCTAATTACGGTACTACTGTGTATGTTTCTCTAAATCAAGTTACTCGAAACATTTATCAAATAATTTTAAAGTGATAATGAAACAGTAGCTGTTAGTCTGTGGAATATCAGTACATTTATACCTTAAATGTTTTAAATGTTCTAATTTTAGTGTTCTATAACTTTTAATTTCGATGTGACGATTTTGTGCACAATTCATTAATGTTGGGAGTCCTTATGAGGTCGGCTATACCCACAAAGAATAGGTAAACCTCTTGTTTCTGACAACCATTCAATCAATCATCAATCAGTCAATCATAACAATATAAATTGCTACAGTTATTTACACCTGGGAAAATTTAACAGAAATGTTATTTTCCACCCAAATCACGAATTGTAAAAATATGTTAAAAAATATTCCTATCCAACTAGTTTATAATTGGTTTACAAGAGGTAAAACACTATATAAATCCAACTACATGTAACCTTTTTGGGGTATTCCTGTCTTTGTCTCTGTTTTGTTTTCCTTGTTTTTTTTTTTTTTATATTAATGTGTAACTGCGTATATTGAATAAATTCATTAAATCAATAAAAATTATGTTTTTGTCATTTCTCCTCTGTGCGTACGAACCCCTCCCCCACAAAAAAAAAAATCGGAAAAGGTACTCATTATAAAAATTATTTTCCAGCATACGGGGCGTATCCAGAGAAAATTTTGGGTAGGGGTCATGCAATGTGCGAAGCACCGAGTAGAGAGGGCGGGAATTGAAAATTAGCTTGTTTTGCCTCTCTTTCTCCTTTTTTTCTTCTCTTGTTCTTTCATTTGGGGGAGGGGCTAGCCCCAATGGCCTCTCCCTCTAGATCTTCCCCTTGATAATGAGACTGAAATTGATTAAAAACTGGAACCCCTACAATACCTAAGCTTCAATCCTACCAGGGATTTTAGTCATACCCATTTTTGTTATATTTTTACACATCCCACATCCCCAATACTCCCTCCCCCCAATGGCAATCCTGGATGCGGTCCTGATATACTAAACAAGTCATGTAATATAAACGACAGATTAAAAAGAAAGTACTGTATAATACATCCAGTATCATTTCTAAAATATTTATTGTTCCAAAAAATGTAGTTTTAGTAATTAGACTATCAAATAGTTACTGACTACTACTGTAATCAAAACATTTGCAAAAATATTTCAACAGTAAAAATTATTTCAGAAACATTCAATCCTTGCATAACATAAATTTCAATGTGCATTTCTATGGTAACAAGTACTAAATTATTCAGTTGCTTGAATAGATACTAGTTTTTCAATCATTAGATGGCGCACTCTGACCTCCTGTTTAAGGTCATCTCTCTCTTGAAGCAGCAAAACAAGCATGGATGAAATGTCTGAAAAAAAAAGGTAACTACAAAAATGAGGGTTTAAATCAAAGGCATTACACTTGCACTGTCTATTTCTGCATGAACCGCACCATTTTTTTTATCACTTATTACAGCTACCTTAATTAATAATGTACAGACATTATCCATTATTAAACCTATTTAATTAGTATCATACAGTCTGCTTTTCTTCATAATACAGGTCTCCCTCTAATTAAAGACCACTCCAATTAAAGACCACTTTTCTGTGGTTCCAAATTCACAAATGTCTTTCATTTTTATTATTCTAATTAGAGACCAAAGCTAAAGACCATGGAAACCCCGGTCCTGAAAGTGGTCTTTAATGGGAGGGAGACCTGTATTTCCAATGTGAAAGGAAGTTTAATACAATATTTAATTTCGAATTTTAAAATGGTAAAGATAAATTCCTTGCACAGTGGCAGCTACCTACCTTTACAACTTGATTTTAACTTCTCTAACATTTTGGAGAGCTCATCTCGACTCCATACTTTCACTGAAAAAAATTGGGGAGTATGGATTTGGGGTTAATACACTTACAATGGTTAAGACTTCATGTCATTACCAAATTTTAAAGCTATACAGCCATCTACAAAATTAATTATAAGAACATTAAAATTTTAAAAATGATTTCAATAATGACATTATATGAATATATAAATTATCCTCTTCAATTAACAAAAGTTTAAAAGAAAAATTTGCATAACAGTAATCTTTGCAACTCTTTTACTAATATTTCTGCTACAACATTTCAGTAAAATGTCATTAACATAGGCCTATTGAAAGTGACAAAAAATGCTTGGTTTTAATTTTAATGACCAATTCAAAGATTTACTTTAATTTTTGTTGGGTTTTTAAAAATTATTTTTTGTATGGCAGTTTATCTTGATGAAAAAAATGTTTTCCTGTGAATGCCAACTGAAAGGTTTACTTTAATTTTTGTAGGTTTAATTTTTTTTTTTTTGCATGGCACTGTATATCTGAAAATTTTTAACAAACTTACACTCTTCACTGGAATAGCTCTTAAAATTATTTTTTGAGTATCCAGACTCTTTCCTGTCCTTATTTAAACCTTCTGCAACAGCAGACTTTGCAACAGGTAATAAATCAGCATCTTCATCCGCATCATTGTCTGTGCTTGATTCTGATTGGCTGGTACTTGTGAGAACTTGTTCTGATTGGTTCACTTGGTGATGATGATGTTCACAAATGTCACATAAAAGGTCATCAATGGTCCACCCTTCACTTGCATACTGATGTTCACAAGGTAAATAAACATACTTATCAGATGGAATTTTAATAGTTTCTCCACTTGATTCCGACTTCCCACTAGCGTCTTGAAATTCTCGACGATCGCAAGGCTTCTTCCTGGATTTAGAATCATGTAAGTCTACATGTTTTGTTTTAAAATCAGATTTTGTATGGCAATTTCGATCTGTTGCTTCCTGCTTTACTATTAGTTCAGGTTTTTCCAGTTGAATCCTATTTCGAGGTTCTGGGGTATCAGATTGCTCATTAACATATATTGCAGGTACTTTTTCAAAAGCTGGCCTTCTACTCTCTCTCTGTCCTACATGTATATTTTCATCACTACTGCATTTTCGCTTAGTAGCTTGTTCAAATCGTGTCTTGGACAGGCCTCTCAGTGGACTACTAGTACGGGAACAAGGCGTACTTCTTACTTCAAATAGCGGTTGCGGGGCACTCAGATTTCCTTCGTTTCGTGCATATTTAATGATCTGCTGCATTTTCTCGTCAAGGAGTCCTTTAAGTTGTGATGTCACGCTGTCCGAAGACAGTTTGCGATTTCCTATGTTCTGACTAAGCACTTGGTGAGCTTTCTTGAAGCATACCTCATGTCCGAAAACATTCTGGTGGACAACTCCAAGTAACTTATTAAAGCCTTCTCTTACTGGTTCCTCTGTGATGGGATGAAAACACTCCTTGCATGTCACCAGTGCCTCTCCAGTGCACTGGTGACAAATGTCACATTCATCAGTGTCAAGGCTAATTGTCACAAAGTGTTCACTCTTCAGCATTGTAACTTTTTTATGTTCCTGAAAAATAAAAATTGAGTTCATTCTAAAAATTTCAATTTTTTTGGATTATATATTATTCAAAAAAATACATCTTGTTGGCCTTCCTTCTATTCTGTTCAACAATTCGTTACTAATTAAAGCTAACATGGTAATAGAAACGTTGACTTAAATTTTAATTTCATTAAGTCCTCCTTATCTTTTTGAAATTAAAAAAAATACTGTAGGCCTGGGCCTAGACTACTACTGTAGCTAGGCCTTGGTTATGACGTTGAGACGTGTATGTAACAGGTGGACCAATTCAACCAAGACGGCTTTAGCTGCAGCTAGATACAGTCGACTTCTTGGTTGGGTAATTAAAAGTATTGATAAAATACTTTTTATTATTCATTCTAATTTGTAATTAATCATTATTCTGACGAACACAATAGACTTACACTTAGATATCGAAAGTGGCCTCATCAAATGACTACATTTTTGTCGTACAACGAGCACATTTTATTTGTTTTAATCGCTTCTTGTTTTCATTTTCTCCTCAAATTTCTTTGTCTTTACGACGTTGCTCCGTTTGACAGATGTGATGTCACGCAATGTTTATTGACTGCGAACATAGCTTCCGGTTGTTCCTTGACCTGCTGAATATTCATTACAGATACAAACAAAACCTGCATGATATGCATACTCGAAGAGTTAGCCATGCGTGAATAAACTCTATTGCAAGACAAGGTCAAGCAACGATAGTTGAGTAAGGCTACACGCCTCTTTTTAGTTCAATTTCAGACCATCAACCTTTTAAGTATTCTGTGTCAAGTGGTGCCACTGTTAAATTTTATTCAGATGAAATCCGTTTTATGTTTCAGTAAATGTCTTATGTTTCAAAGAGAAAATTAAACTACATTAAATCAGTAGTGAGCTGATCCAGGATTGGGATCGAAGGGACTAACTAGCGTGTAGCCGTAGCGAAGTATCAACGACGCACAACAGTAAGTTTGCGCTGGTTTGCGGAAGTAAAGTACCGTAGTATAATAAGCCTCGAAATCATTTTCGATAATACTACTAGATACTAGGAGTAGTATACAGTTGTAGAAAATGAGTAGGCGCTATACGTCCTTTTGTTTAAGTGTATAATAACTGTGTAGTACTGTACCAAGTAGGCGATAAAAAAAGTTTGCAAATTATTTTGGAACATGATTCATAACAATCATTGTTTGAGAACACAGTCGATACGCATGGGTTCCCAGACATCCTCCTCGATTCATTAGCATTATTCTGTTTTTTAAAAAGGACAATTTAGATCGTAATACAGCATTGTGAGAAATAGCATATTAATATGAATGCGTGCATGAATGATGGCAACCTACAACAAGTCATTCTCAAAGGCGAACATCGAGGTCAAATTCAAAGTATGAATCAGTTATCAATGTGCCACTGTATATGGGTTATCTGTACAGTCAAATTGGAATATTTACCATAACAATAACTACTTTGGTAGGGGCCTAGCTAAAGTACTGTAAGTGGTATCAAGAATGTTTATAATTCAGTCGTAAAGGTACTCTGGTAAAATGTCTATGAATTAAGATGAGGGCCACTATTTTTCAAGCAGGGAGAGGGGTTACTGAGAGCGAAGTAAGCAAAAAAAAAAAAAAAAAAAAAATTCCAGAGGTCCCAAGTTGGAAATGTGAAATTACGAAACATTTCATTGTGAGGTCTGGGCAATAGGGCAGTTGTGTAGAGTATGATAAAGCGCTGGTGTTAACACTGAAAGATATACGCTACTTACTTTCCAATTTTTGTTGGATGCCTCTGTTTTCATGATTGAGAGCTTTCAAGGCATCACATGCTGGTTGTAGTTCGGTACTACTACCGTAAGGGCTTCATCAAACCAACATACATCACTACCAATTAGTGAATGACCTTTACACATTATTGCTTAAGATGGGAGTTGGCTCATGACAGAGGAGTGTGGTGTGGGGAACTGCCAGCAAAACAAAGAAAGGTCAACCCTGTGCTTTGCGTGTAAAATTGACAGCAGTAGAAGTAATGTAACAACAGTGGATTATGATGATGAAATGTAAAAGTTGTCAGACTGGTAAATTAACAATGAGGTTTAATGTCTAATCAGCTTCCGGCTTTCCTGCATCAGCCTTGATTTGTATGGTGTAACATCAAGTTCATCCAGATATTAGAAGAATACTGCTCCAGATTTAAAAGTGTAATAATAATGTTCAAGGATGAATGTTGATATAGGTAAATAGGCTACAAAAGGACATCAACGAAGTAACATTAAGCAAGATATAATTGGCCAATGATTTATTCAGTAACAAAAGACAAACTGGCACTCAATGTCTAGCTCTGAACAAAACTAGAAATCAACTGTTTTAAAACTGTACTGTGCAGTATAAAAACAATCAATATGTAATTTGTTCTCAATGAACTCTAAAACCATTCCCATTGGTTCATCAATGTAAAACTATTACTATTAGTTAATAACAATATTTTATAATACGCGCCTCACTTTTAATTGGATGTGGCAAGTGCAAATGCGAGCACAAAAGTGTGACTAAAAGAACTAAATTTAAGCAGATATGCAAATGCGCAATACTGGATTAAATAATATCAACCACTAGCCAAGTGGTCAAGAATAATCTTGTTTCCTGCATATAGACGTGTTACCCTTTATCAGAGGACTAGTACTGTAGCATTAGTTAATACAAATTATAGGAGTGTTAGAAAGGTACCATCTGTTGTACATTAAGGCCAACTCGGCATCATAAGTCACACAGACCGACACGACGACAAATCATGTCAACCTGTGTTATACGACGCTAGACGCTGTCCGAGTTGGCCGATCTGAAAACATATATTATTTTTTGATTAATCAATTGTATAATAAGTTCTTAGGAAACATCGTGGCATGTAATATTATATACTCTCGATTAAGTTTATAATGTACTCTCGATTAAGTTTATAATAATTGAGTATCAAAAAATAAGTGGTATGATGTTAATTATAGAGTGGCGCTTAGCAAAAAAATGATGTTTGGTGTGCTGTTTACAGTCACTTATTAGATCACATATGGTACTGGTTGTGTCTTTCACCACTAATTTCCACATTGAGCACTCTGTTTGACTGATGAGTAAGACACTATTTGATTTTTACAGATGACCGAAGCAAATGACAAAAAACATGCTCCGCTTAGTAGGTCAACCACAATAAAACAGAGCGCCACCAACCTTGAGTTGCTGATGAGTATGGGCTTTCCGAAACACCGGGTGTAAGTCAACCTTAATAATGTTTTTTAAAGTTAATGTAAATAAAGACTCGATGCTACTTAATAGATGCCATGATAATTTTTCCAAACAAGTAGTTTGTCTTTACCCTTGACTTGAGTACTTGTTTGCTCACCATGTGAATTGGGAAGGGCGTCAATGAAAGTGGGTGTGGCAATAAACCAAAAAACAAACAGATAGGCAGGATGCAACACAAACTTTCACCCTTTTATCTGGGTTTTATACATTAGCCCATACTTTAGGTTGGCATAATACCAGACTATCAAATTTTTATTTGACAAAAAACTGCTGTATACCCATATATAGTCATGATGTGCCCATATATAGTCATGATGTGCCTATATATAGTCATGATGTGCCCATATATAGTCATGATGTGCCTATATATGGTCATAATTGACCATATTTAGGCATGTCACATGCTTTTGTCAAACAAAATTTGATACTAAGTCTGGACAGGGCTTTACATTTGACAGGTTGGGAAATTTGGAATTTTCATGAAGGCATACATGGGCATACTGTAGGCTAGGATTTGTGTCTCCTTCCCCCCCCCCCCCCCCACACACCACACACACACTTAAATTGTTTCACTAAGTGGGTTATAATAATATAAGTGACCATTAATTTTCATTGGGGTAGATCTTCAGTTCTGCATCCTCAATTTTGGTATTTCCTGGGCTGAAACCATATGCCTGTCAATTACATTGTTTTATAAGAATGATGATAATGATACCAAGCCTTTTATTTTGTTGAAAAAGTAATTATAATAGCATACTGCACCAGTAACATCACTGTAAATCTGGATTTATTGGACAAATTTTTGCTTTAAGGGAGAAGTCTTTGGCATCAACTGGCAACCAAGGTGTTCAGCAAGCCTCTGATTGGTGAGTAATTTTTTATGATATTGATAGTACAATTCTGATTGGTGAGTTATTTTTGAAGTTATTGTTAATACATTTCCAATTGGTGAGTTTCTTAAATTGTTAATGGTGGGTGATACAAATCATACTGTTTGATTTCTTTAAGGTTTTTGATATAGTATACAAATGGAAGAAATGAATTCACGATATGTAAGATAACATTGGTGATGAAAATTACAATTTTATTGGATCATAGTATGGGTGTATCTACAGTAGGGGAAAAGGTGTGGGAGGGGTGTTTGTTCTGGTAGATATACTGTATGAGTGTGATTAAAGCTACAATTCTTACAATTCTAAAACAAGGGGGCAGATTTGAACCATGAGTAAGAATTTGATTCTCTGCATGCTAATCCGGAAATTATTTGAGATGTAATCATATAATAATAGTAATATGATAATAATAATGGTTGTAATGATAATGATGTTAACATTGTAATAATATCAATTGTAATTGTATTGTTTTTACAAAACACTAATTCCAATATTATTTGATTTTTGAGATGAAAAGTTACTCATATTATGTTTTTATTGATTTCAAGAACATCATTTTTTACTGCTTCGGCTAAATCATTTCCTCGTTTGTAGGATAACATATTATTGTAATTGTATTGCACTGTATTGTATTGTATTACATGTGCAGATTGTATTGTATTGTAAAAGTATTACTTGACTGCACATTTCTCAAAAGCTTCATGAAGTTTGGCTTATTACCCACGGAATTCTACTTATTTTACAGAAAGCTACTCTATTCTTAGCAGCCTTTACTAACCGTACATTCAATAGCTTGTTTATAATACAATACGTCAACGCTAATGTCAATCAAATGTCAATGGGGAGGGGCCCTGGTACTCTATACAGTAATTAACAAATCCCATGAATACTAGGACCTATTTGAAAAAATATATAATTGTCCCATCCCAATCCATTATATTCTTATTTGCTGTAATCTTAATTTTAAAAATTTTATTAGATTTCTCGTAGGCCGAATAATAAGGCTGTGATTTGAAATTATTTTTTAGTGAGGGTATTTATTACAGTTTTTGCTAATTACTATCCTATATACTAGTACTAAACATGCTGGTAAATAATAAAAATTGTTACCGATATTTATTAAAGAAGTAAATTGAATATTTAATTGTAATGTATTCTGCTATTTATGTTTCCACCTCATCTTAGGTTTTGAGAACAATTTTTGAGATCATCATTAGGCCCTCCAGTGCCCACCCCTATCCCACAGAAAAATAGGGGCTTTAAAAAAAAAAAATTCCATTTTTTTGTAAACAAATTTTAAAAAGTGATCGTTATTTTTCTCCATTTTGCACATGAAAGTTGTCTAAATTTGGTGTCTGATGTAAGGTATCGCCATTCTAGGCCTAAATTCATTGCAAAATATTAATTATGGGTTAATTGTATTCAGTCTGATGAATACCCTTTGAAAAACAATGTAGAGATAAAAATGTAAATTTGTATGTAGCTTTGTCTTATGAATATTATTCATGTTGTTTTTAGGCTCCTTAATCATCTGGAAGATGCCACCTTGGATGAGCAAATGCCACGCGAGTTTATCATGTATGCATGTCCTGTAGGACCATTTGCAGAGGAGCTTGAAGCATTTTGGGAACAATCACTTAAAGAAGTGGGTCATAATGGGGCCCACGGCCTTCTACCACATGTCACCCTTTGCTCATTTTTTTCAGTAAGTATAGAATAATCACGAAGAGTGTCAATATTATGTGTCATGCGATAATTTCTGACAAGACTTTGTCTGATGGATGTTACACTGCCAACTTCTTTGAGTCCTATTCATAAGACAAGTCATTATACTATGTTATACCTGTCTCTTATACACATCTAGATGTGTATAAGAGACAGACGCTAGACGCTGTCCTAGTTGGCCCATCTGAAAAGATCAAGCATTGTTGGATGTAGTGTATGATAGCATATGCCTGACTTTTAGAAAACATGTGGTCAGGCACAGTTTATCTAGCTATCCCTATAACATTGACAAAACCACATAAATTAGCAGTTTTATGTTTAGAAACAGGACATTGTTGGAAATGCTAGCAAGATATTTACAGTGTATTGAGTTCAATAGCAAATTCTATATTACAATCATCGTCATCATCATCAATTATTATGCTATTATTACAAAGCACTTTGAGATAGTGTTTAGCTCGGCTTGGTAGCCCATTTATCTCCATCATCATCATCATCATCATCATCATCATTATTATTATTTCAACATCATCATTATCAACATCATTAATTTTAATAAAATTATTAATATTATTGATAACATTATTAATATGTTTTAAATTTCTCCATGTTTAGTGTGATGACAGCCTCGTAGCAGAGGTGACACATGCATTCCAACTTGCAATAGACCGGTGGAAGAATGAGGCGCCTGACCAGATTGCGGTTGAATACTTTGCTGCAGCTAATTTCATTGGCTTGTTCATCGAAGAAAAAAATGCCGAGTACATGAGGCGTGTCGCACAAGATTTTTCAGTGGAGGCATTAAATATTGCAGGTATGAACCGATAGTTAAATACCTGTACTTCATAGTCCATTGTGACTATGTGGAAATTACACACGTGTCTATATGTCACACGTATCAGGCATACCTTTCACGTATGTAGTATCTATGTGAGTCTAAAGCCCTGTTCAGACTATCACATTTTATTTGATAAAAACCTGTGACATGCCTAAATATGGTCATGATGACATCACCTCATGACCATATATAGGCACATCATGACTGTATATGTGCATACAACAGTTTTTCGTCAAAGAAACTTTGATAGTGTATGCAGAGTTTATTGCTGTGTTATAGTAACAAAGCAGGATGTTTACATTTAAAGTTGGATATAACCTAACATGAAGTGTAAAGCGACTGCCACTATTTATATTGATTATTATTAGCAAATAGTTTTATATTGTTTTAGGCAATCCTAACTAAATTAAACATTAAAAACAAAACCCAAGGATCCCAGACTCTATCTTTCCAGGATGCTTTCTTGTTTGACTCTTAAATTGGTAAATTAACAATGGATATTTGTCAACATCATGATGGAACAAGGATAATTTTGACTGCTGAATTCATAAAATTTTAAATATAATATATTTATGCAGTTGTAATAGTTAAAAAAGTGATTACTATTTGATTTGTGTATATTAAGATGATCCCTCTTATATGTTATATTTGGGCCTTTTGATCATTTCTTACTTTGTGGTTTTTACCATTTGAACAAAGCCACTTTTCTTTTTATTTGGGACTTAATTTATTCATATGAGAAGAATGAATTCTGTAGCTTTGGTTTCAGAATTCCCAATTGTCTAATATACTTCCTACATTGAAACGCTTCCTCATTTTAAAACCACTTTGAGCTTTTCAATGTTGAAACGTTTAGCATGTGTAAAGTGCTTAATAATTTAAAGAGCAAATAAGCTGATATTGTTCCAAGTTTATTCTGTATTCTCATGAGAAAAATAAATTTAAAAAATGGATTAAGTTGAGGCAATGATATATTAATAAAATAATGATAAATCATTTTTATTGTGTGGGTTTTTTGAAAGTAAAGTAATGTGATAGTTTATGATTATTATAAAATTAAATTTTTCTTCTTTATAATAGGTATCCCTGTTCAGTAGATAGCTACTGTTCTCCCACAGGGCCCAGTTATGCATCAATAACTACCGTAAATGCTTGTATAACTATAAGCACCGCTCTCGAATAAATGCTTCTGCGCTTAAATGAGAGTATATAATAGCGTTTGTGTAATGAAACACTTTGAGAAACAGGGTTTTGAATACAATGTGTATAGTGCTAAAATGAATAAATAACACAATGAAGACACAAGTATTTCTTTAGAAACGTTTATTTACAATGCCTACTGAACTACAGGAATAAGTGAGATAAGGGACATGGGATGGGCATGGAAAGCACCACCCCAATATTTTTTGTATAAGCGCCGATCTCCAATTAGCGCTGCACTGAAGCCTCCAAAAATTGTATAAGCACTGCAGCGCTTATTCAGGCATTTACAGTAAGTCTCGTACCAAGGCTTGGAAGTGGAGTTTTAGTTGTGAGAAAAAAAGTTCTGCTGTCACAGGAATTTAAGCACCAAGTTATTCAACTCGACTCCAATATAATTATTATTCTTTCGTTTAATAATAAAGATTATAATAAAAAAAAAACATTTCCTTATCTATTCTAGGTATTAAACTTGAACCTCATAAAAAACAGTTACATCTCACATTAGCGTACCAGTTCCACCAAAGTCATCTGGAGAAGCTAGAGAAACTTTCAAAGGAAATTAACTTGAACAAATCCGCTCGCTGGGAATTGAGGCTCTACTCCAGAGACGTACGGGCAGGCAAAGGCGATGTAAGGTCAAAGTTTATTGTTCATCACCCTTTGTTTAAAATGAACTATTCTTTTCTGTTAAATCTACAGTAACTCTGTTCCAACTTTGAATCAGCATTGCTAGGCTTTGGCTTTCAATCAGGAGGTCGTGGTCATGTTGTTTATATCTTGGGCATAAAGTCGATTTATAATCAGACACTACTGGGTAGAGACAACAAGATTTCCTGTTCCACAACAAGACATCCATTTGTAGAAGCCTTTCTGAAGAGGGTCTGTCTAGTGTTGGCTTTAGAGTGGCCAAGACCTGCTAACTTTGGTTTGAATTTAGGAAGATTGAATTGTGTTAGACTGAGTATACAATAGGTACAATGTTTATGAAAGTTCTAGGCCTAGTCTCTGCTGAATTAGATAAAGCTTTGTACTCGAGTGAGCACATGAGTTGCATGGTGTGCATATTTAAGATTCCGGCAACCAGGGAAGGGGAGGTCTATTGTGAATGATTGAGATTGTGACAACCAGAGAAATGGCTCTTTGGGGATCTTCCAGGAAACTGGAAACTGTACCCTTGATAATTTGTTTGGAATTCAAACTTTCTGAATTTGTATTATTATTGTTACCATTAAACAGGTGTTTGATAGGATTTTAAAATACATTACTTTAAGTCTGGCTTTCAATAGATTTGCATGCTGCACAAATCCTTTTGAATATCTTTTTTGTCATTCCTTTGTGTTAGGTTTATCGTGTAATGTATTCACGTTTGGCAAAGACAGAGGATGAGTTAGAGGCAACGAACGACGATTTTATCTACCGTGAGGCGAATGATGAAGTTTCGACTCCGGACTGGATTTACGGAGTATCCCACAAGACGGGATGTGCCGGAAAATTTCCGTTAGATTACCTGGAGTCTTGTCCGGAGTCAGATGTGTGGACCCTACACAGGTATTTTATACACATTACCTTTCAATTTAACACATTTAACAAACTAGTAAAATTTCAGATAATTTTTGAGATATGATGATGATATACAGATGCTATTTCAATGTAGCCGCTGCTACTTGGCGACCGGATTCAACACTAATCACTAAGTGCAAGCCTGGTAGTCTGGTGGTCATGGGTTCGATTCCCACCCGAATCACTTGCAAATTTTGTTTTGCAAGTATTTGCTGACTTACTATAATATTCGGTACGATAACACTTCAGGTAGGACAAAACATCCCTTCTACAGATGACAACCTTTTAATATATATTGTATGAATAAAGTTATATTAATTATATATTGATTAAGTATATTAAACAGATTATTTAAAATTAGTCTTTATCACTCTCAAAATCTCCTAATCAACCAAACACCAAGTCACTAATATTTCATACAATATTTTAAAATATTTGTATTTGTTTATAAAAATTAATAATCATAAGGTTTTTAGTGGGAATGAGGTTTTGCCCTACCTGACTTGCGAAAACAAAATCTTTCAAGTGATTCGGTGAGAATTGAACCAAAACCTCCAGATAAAATATTATTAAATCTCCTGATGTAAACACCATCAAACAGAATGTATATGATTATTAATTTATTATTTAGAAAAAAAAAATAATAATCATAATGTGTATGTCTGAAAAATGCATGAAGTGGTTTTTGGTACTATGCAAATCTTGAAAATTGATTGATTGATACATTGATTGACTGATTGGTGGATTGATACATGGTAATACAGATATGACAGAATCAAATTCAAAACATATTATAAATGCATGAGTGATCACAACAAATTTTATCAGTTTAGCAAACAAAATAACTGCTTTGTACATGATTAATCTTATACTATTATTATTAATAAATTTAAACTATTAAGATTTTCTATTACTTCTTGGTGACTAATTCTGTTATTTTCTTGTTTGCAGAGCATTTCCAATCACAAAAACAACGAGTGAACTTATTCCAGTACCGCCAATCCGCAAGCCGGCGCCTGCTATGGGCTCCGATGAGATGCACAGTAGTAAATACAAAACGTCAGTAGGATTACTGCAGGGAAACCCAGAGTATGAAAATGTAAGCTTTTATAACATGTTTACTAATTTATATTATATAAATATTGTAAACATGTTATATAATATGTCAGCATATTATATAACGTATATACTATTATATAATGTGCTGACATCCCAGTATGCATGCTGAGCACTCTTTTTGCCGTCGTTACTAGCTAAAATTTAAAAAATTCATACTTTATTTAAGTACAGGCATTTCATCAGAAAAGTATAACTTCCGAAAAAAGGTAACTGATGGTTTCATTGTTCTGATTATTCGACATTTGAATCCATTTTTGTTTGATCGTCCTCATATTTTGGCCCCATTTGACACATCAAAGGAATCGCTGCACCGTCAGCCACATCAGTTGGTTTGATTACATGACGCCACAAACAGTCATTGATCTGCATTGTGTTTACTTCGCTTGCATAGCATTCGCTGCTTTACGATCGTGTCTACTGCGTACTTCTTTTGTCATAAAATTTAAATTGCAATATATTTATATCGCTCAATCTATTTAAAAAATTGTATATAATATTTATTTCCCTCATTTTTGTTATTTTTTTGTCTGTTAATATTGTTTTATTTATTAATCTCTGAATTTGTCCTTTTATATGATTGTCTTTTTATATGATTGTCTTTTTGTGTGTTGTTGTTTTAGATTTCATTCATTATATTGTATTTTTATGCATTTTAAAGTGGAACCAAATAATTTCAAATCAAATCAGAATAAAATACAGTCACTCAAAGTTTAACTGAGTAATTAGCATAAGAATGAGGCAGCATTGTATACTTTAGTACACAGAAGTCATAATACTTATCTCTTTGGCAGTAGTAAGTTGATTCCAGTAAATAACTCATAATTTTAAAGCTCATAATGGGGAGGATATGTATATATTTTTAAAAAAAATCAATTTTCTTCACTGCTGCTGGTTTTGGCATTACAAGCCCCATATAGATCATACATAGGCATTTATGATAAAATATCAACATTCTGCCTGGTGATATTTTATCATATACATCAAAGGCGGGATATTTTTATACCTTGTTTCGC